GACATATAAAAAAATAAATTTGACACAATAATGTTTTTGTCGATATTTTCAAAGCAATATGTAAATCTTTAGACATATAACAGAAGTATTAAGGGATTAAATCCGAAGTTTTAACGATCATCCAAGAAAACAACTTGGATTATAAATAGGAAAAACGACAAGTTGAATAAAAGGAGTCGAATTTTAACTACTTTTCGAGGGAGGCTTGGAGAAAGGAAGTTTTAGGAAAAGTTTCGGTAGTGAAAAACGATGGGAGTTCCTCTTACCCGGTCGAAGTTCGATTGGCTAAGTTTTGGGTTGGCCGGGGGGTGGGTATAATGGGCGTCGTAAATAATCCGGAACGTCGAACTACGATACCCGAACCGGGAGAAAGAAATTAATTAAAACCGAAGGAGAAAGTTATTGTGAAGGATTATTACAGTGAATTTCACTTAAGATGCAATATACAAAAATATAAATAGAAACCATTGCGTATGTACTTTGCCTCACATAAAATGCAACAAATGTCAATATAATTTGACATTACATTAAAACCTTGATATAACGGATCAATACGAAGAACGCAGTGATTGGCAAAATGTGCCACATGATGCTGTGGTTTTCTTTAGTGATGAGGCACATTTTCACTCATCGGGAACAAAATTACCGTTATTGAAGTGCACAAAATCCTTGGGAACTCCATGAAAAGCCTCTGTACAGAGTGTCCAAATTTCGATGGGTTTGCAGGGTATCTCAGTTATTATGAAAGATTAGAAAGTTGCGGCTTTCGCGAACCTGAGCTACTTTTTTGTGAAACTTACAATGGCGCAAACCAAATTTTCATAGCCCTCTTCGTTTTTGATATACAGGGAGTGTTTGAAATTTACGATTTTCAGACACCTCCTGTATCTCGGCTATCCGGAAACTTAGTAAAAAAGTAAAAACGGGTTCTAATAGATTTTTTCACGTGGAATCCAATGGTGCACGTAGAATTTTTCTAGTCATCACGGTTTTTGAGTTATAAACACAACTCAAATACTGAATACTCAACTTCTAAAATACTTAACTCTTTATAACTCAAAAACCGTGATGACTAGAAAAATTCTACGTGCACCATTGGATTCCACGTGAAAAAATCTATTAGAACCCGTTTTTACTTTTTTACTAAGTTTCCGGATAGCCGAGATACAGAAAGTGTCTGAAAGTCGTAAATGTCAAACACTCCCTGTATATCAAAAACGAAGATGACTATGAAAATTTGGTTTGCGCCATTGTAAGTTTCACAAAAAAGTAGCTCAGGTTCGCGAAAGCCGCAACTTTCTATCTTTCATAATAACTGAGATACCCTACAAACCCATCGAAATTTGGACACCCTGTACAGTAAACGTGTTACCGTGTGGTACGCGATTAGCAGTGTCGGGATCATCGGCCCGTAGTTTTTTGAAGAAGGAAAAGTAACAGTGACCGTTAACTCGGATCGATACATTCAAATGCTTCAAACTTTTATGGCACCACGACTCAATGCACTGCAGATTCAACAGGATGTGTTGTTTCAGCAGGACGGGGCCACTGCTCACACAAGCAGAAGATCTCTTCAAGATCTGAGGCAGCTGTTCCCAAAACGCTTGATGTCTTTGCGTGGAGACACCCACTAGCCAGCACGATTTCGAGACTTAACTCCCTGTGATTTTTCTCTATGAGAGTTTCTTAAGGCTGAAGTTTACAAACATCGTCCAGCCCTACGACAAGCGATTCAAAAAAAGATTGCTCGTATTCCTCAAGATATGTTGGTTAGAGTAATGGCGAACTTTGCATTGATAACGAAGGAAAACATTTGAGTAACCTCCCATTCTGTAGATTCCATTCATGTTAATATAGTTTCGTTAATTTGTACCATCTGTTTTTTATTCAATTTTCAAATTAGGAAGGGAGTTTTGCCGCACCCTGTATTGCAAGTTATATGAAATTCCCGGTATAATAATAATACAAATATTTAGTACAGGGCTTGTCACGACGAGCTGAGTCTGTATGTATGTGGTAAACTACTGGCACTATTTTTCTAAAAATTTGTATACAGGTTGTTTTAAAACAACGTTTAAATATTTATAGGGGTAGTAATCAAAAACAAGTGGAAAAGTCCTAATGAACATGGGTTCGCAAATCAACCGTTTTCGAGATACAGGATGTTCAAATTTTTTGGGACTCTACCTTTTTTCTTTTAAACTGTAACTACTACAGATTCGATATCTGACAAATCGATACAGTATGAAACTGTCTCGATTTGAGAGTAGTATGATGTTTCCATTACTTCCGCCATGTTGCCAAGAAAGAGTTCGTGATGCATTTCGATCTCTTTCTTCGGAAGAAATTCGGAGTGCCTCATATGCCGAGTATTTAAAAAAATTCATAAATGTTTGGAAGTTAAGGACAACCAGTTCGAACATTTACTATACTTATATCAATTTTTTAAAAACTTTGCAAGGGTTATAGTTATAAGCTATGCGTCCTCTCTGTGCAAACAGCAATTTTATTGTGAACGGTTGCATCTGCCAAAATTTTCAAAAAAACTAAAATAATTCAAAAATGGTGCACTCTAGACATATGATAACTTATATTAAAATTTGGCAGGGATAATAATAATAAAAATTATTATCATAAAAATTGATACATTCCATTTAAAATAACGAAGTTGGGGTCCATTTCCGGTATAACCGGAAGTTGGAGAAAACTGAAAATATTTTAGCTGAAACGAGCACTTCGGGTACACTCGGGAGCTCGTCGTGACAGACCCTGTATACAGGGTGAGTCAGAAAGAATGGAAAATCCGAATACCGGAGACACTAGACACCAAAATATGACGATTTAACCTAACATCTCATACAAATGTCGGTGGTTTTCAAGGCACAGGATGTTCAAAGTTAAATTCTTATTTCGAATTTTCTTAATAATTTTGAAGCTTTTTGTACTATTAACATAAAATTTGGTAGTTATATGTTTTCGAGCATGAGAAATACAAATTTGAAATTTATTTTGTGATGCAAGTTTGAGATATCAAGTCATGACTATTTTGTCAGTTAAGGTATGGTGAATTAGAACCAGAAATCTGAAGGAGCTTTGAATTCTACACAAAAAAGGTAGTCTGGCTTACATTGTCTAAGTCTACTGATTTCCAAGTTATCTGCTTTTAATTGTTTCAAAGTAATTTTAAGGTTAACATTTAAAATCAATAACACACAGTAACTATAGCAATTAGTAACGATAATAATCGATAACAATAACAATTAATTAATAACAATAGAATATTGTGACCATATTCAAAAATCCAGTGGATTTATAAATCTGGATTTCTCACTATTAGAAAACTCATTATGTCATGGCAATAATTGGTAATAACTTTATTGCTGGTAAAAATGATTATTGCACACGGAAATAAGATCAATGTTGACAATTAACAAGCAATTGTCGAAACATGAGCGGAAAAATAAGCCAACTTTGCTTATGTTAAAAAATAAAAATTTTAGAAGAAAAAAATACATTTAAAAGTAAATAATTCGAAAACCTTAGACAATTTAAATAAGAGTACCTTTTTCATGTAAAATTGAATGCTCTTTGTGATTTGTAACTCTTATTGGTCGTAGCTCGACAGCCACGAAACTTATGATTTGATTTATCAAACGAGCAGTGTCTATCTAACGCAATTTCAAATTCGTATTTCTTATGCTCGAAAACATAAAACTGCCAAATTTTATGTTAATAGTACAAAAAGCTTCAAAATTATCAAGAAATTTCGAAATAAGAATTTAACTTTCAACACGCTGTGCCTTGAAAACCATTGACATTTGTATAAGAGATGTTAGGTTAAATCATCATATTTTGTTGTCTAGTATCTTGGGTATTCGGATTTCGAATTCTTTCTGACTCACCCTGTATATTAGTATTTTTTATTTTCCCAATAGAATTTAAGGTAGAAATTAATGTAGTGTTTTGATCATGGTGGAGATCCGGGTTAACAGTCTTTCAAATATGCACATCGTAAACGAGAGTGTAAATATAAGCTACAGAGAGGCTAAGATTAAACTTAATACTTCACGGTACACACATACACAAAGAGTTGGTCGCGTTTTAATGTATTTTTTAAAAACGGAATTAACATAAAATTTTAATCTTTCCAAGATTAAAAAAAAAATAATCGATAATAAAATGTCACATAAATCTTTTTCTTTTATTCTTCTTGGAAAACGCATGAATATTCACTCACATATTTTCGATTTATTTTATTTCTGGTGATATTCGTGGGGTATGTAATAAGGTAAAAGGATAAGGGTTTGGTTCGAGTGTGTTGGAGGGACGATAAAAGACGTAACATTTTAACGTCTTTCCGAGGCACGCTCTGATCCGATCGTCATTTGTCATGCGACACGTCAAGTCACGCACGGCCAACTTGTTGCAAGATATTGAGGAAATTTTTTTCTATCTTTAATAAATATATTATTATTTTTATGGGATAACTCATTTTGATAATTTGAATTTGAAAACTATTCCAGACTTAGTTCTTAATCTAGGCTCGTATCTTTTTCTCGTCAATTAGCAAGCTTTTAAGAGATTTACATCTAAACGAGCACCGCCCCTTATGTTCAAACTTCCAACAAAACAAAATAGTTTCGGAAAGTTTTCCTTTACCCATTCAACGGAGACGTGAAAGCATTTTAAAACATTTACTGGCCACCAAATAAAATTTAAAATAAAAAAGGGTTCTTTCGACTATTGTTGACTCGCACTCATAACAATTTACACGATAAATTCGTCGACTGTTGAAATAAGTCTTTTTCGTTTTTTCTCATGTTTTATTTTATTTTTTAAACGCGATTATTTTTTTTCAGGTGGTCACGGGACTTATTACGTCCCAAATATTTAACATATTAAACGATTTATTTAAATTTTGAGTTAACTAATTTTATTCCAATTTTCTCCATCTCATTGTTGAATCAAATTTTAGAAAGATTTTTTTGTTCTTTTTTAAGGAATGTCCCGAAGGGGTTGTCCACGAAGACTCCTTTAAGGAAATCTACTCCAAGTTTTTTCCGCACGGAAGTAAGTAGTACCTACACCTTTATTTAACTACAATAACCAAGATTTCATTTTATCTCTTTAATTTTTCTCATTTTTATTTTTATAATTTTATGTTAAAAGCAAAATTCTTTTTGTATGTATATCTCGTCGAGCAGAATGTTATGGTTGTGAGTGGCAATCATGATATTGCAGCAAACATCCTTAGAGATGTTCAGAATCACCTACACATTGATTTAATCTTGTTCACCGTTGAAGGACTAATAATAAACTCAACGGCACTGTATATTTCTGTAAAAGTCAAGTTTGATTTATTACCTTCTGAGTGTTGCAACGCCAAAAAGAATCACAACTTTAATACACATAAACAATCTATCGACAGTAACATAAACAAAGTCTATGGCAAAAGAATCAATTTATCGTAAGTGACATTTTCTAACAGATCGGGATAAATATTATAAACGGAGTAAAATCTAAAATAAATAGAAAACTGGCGTGGAACGTTAATCAATATTTAACGCCAAAGAAAGAAAAACAACCAAAGAAACAAAAGTGAATTAATTTAGAAATAACTATCAGATATACTTCAAATAACCACAAACAAATCATTCAACAACACTAAAAAATAATGTAAAAAAACTGATATATCCGAATTGCATAACTCTTACTGCATAACTACAATTAAACAAAATCTTTGACATTAAATATTGAACATCAGCGTTATTTTAATAATTGTTCGAAAATATCGCCATTAACTTCTAAAGATTTCCGGCTTCGTTTACAACGAACTCTTATTGCTTATGGTTTTAATGTGTGCTATCTTATTTAATGTCATAAGTGCTAATTGCTACATGGCTTTCCTTAATATTAACTGCAATATTTAGAATGCACCTAAAAAGTGCATCCCTAGTGTCAACTTTGACTTTGTATACTTCACTTATGAACCAGCCCCACAAACAATAATCAAGTGCTGTGAGGTCTGGAGATCTTGGAAGCCAACTCATAGGACCACCACGACCAATCCAACAACCTGGAAACCTTTCGTCCAAATGTTACTTGATCTGACGTGCGAAATGCGCCATCGTGTTGAGAGTTCATTTGCATTCTAATGTTTAGAGGCACATCCTGCAGTAAATCATTTAACTCATTTTATAAAAACTCTTGATAGTGGTCATCATCAAATAACTGGTCGTTGCATGTTCTTCTACTAGATCCAAAATATTTTCCACTTCATTAAACGATTGAAGAGTAAGCTCGTTCAGAAAATTCGGTCCGTTCCTCCCGACTCACCCGGTATAAGGAATACAATCTCTGCAATATGTCATGGAGGGATAACGAGATTTGGATATGGATCAATATTACTCATGAAACTAGTAAGAGGTTGAATGAAAAGTTTCCATGGGACAATACGGAGCCTCTTTAGTGGTACCACAAAACTCAAAAAAATTACCATTAAGAGATTGAAGAACAGAGTGCCACGTTAAGCGATTGCATTAATCAGCTTTTACATCCTTACAACTAAGTTATGATTTTGTGTATGGAATAATAATAAATCTTAATGTTTCTAGTTGTAAGTCTAGTGTTGTTTCTAGTGAAAAGCTATAACTAATACTGAACCCAGAACTAGAAATATTCAGGTTTAGCCCTCTCAAGAGACGTACGGCTAAACCCGAATGATTCTAGTTCACCCTGCCTAGAATGTGCTGCGAATATGACAAGTAAGAGAAGACATAGATCAGAAACTTAAGCTTTGGTGATACTGTTATAACTTGTAGATGCTCAGCTCACTTTCTAAATTTGCTTTGCAAAGACCTTGAAGTAACTAAAATCAAAAAGAAGCATGTGATCCAAAGTGTGAAATATTTTAGATACAATCACCTGGCTAGATCTAAATATATGGTTTGTATTATACTGATACACTGAAAAAGTTTTAAACGATGTAAGTCTGTCAAAAGTATGTGAAAAAAATGTATAATATACTGGTTCGTTTGCTTAGCCACCTAGATCCCCCGACCATAACACAGAGAAACAGTGATTCTGCGGCATGAGATATCTTAGTCAATTTTGGTTCATTTTGGTCCACTGAATATAAAAATAGTAATTTATTTGTTGAATTGACTCTAGTTTTTGAGATAAAGTATTAATTTATACAGAAAATTAAATTTTGAGAAAAGAGAATATTGTTGAAATCTATATTTTAAAATTATTTATCCATTCGACTTAAAACAAAAAATAAAACAAAATTAACTATAATAAACAAAAATATATCGATAACTTTTAAGAAAATCGTTTTCTGTGTGATTTTCTATTGTGTTTTTGATTAAGGCAATCTCTCTGTAAATTCCAGCAATAATCCGCCATCATATGGTGGTCCCACCGCCCTTTATATCTCTCTTCCATAATTTTGATATCTTGGTGAAACCGCTCCCCTTGTTCTTCGCTGTAGTCACCCAAATTATCTGGAAATTTGTCTAAATGGCTGTGCAAGTAATGCAGTTTCACGCTCATGTTAACTCCCAGTTTTTGGAATTTTTTAAGCATGTTGTCTATCAATTCATAATGTGCTTCAGCTTTGTGGTTTCCTAAAAAATTTTCGACAACCAATACGAAGCTTGACCATGCTTCCGATTCAACTTGATTCATATGGTTTTTAAAATCTTGGTTTTTAATAAGGGAGCGAATTTTGGGACCGTCAAAAATACCTGCTTTTAACTTCTCGATACTGAGACCAGGAAATGATTCACAAATATATTTGAAGCAGTCGCCGTTCTTATCTAAAGCTTTCACGAATTGTTTCATAAGTCCAAGTGTTATATGGAGGGGAGGCAGGATAACTTTTTCCCGACTTATTAATGGTTCTTCGATGATGTTTGCTTTTCCTACATCCATGTTAAGTCTCGGTGGCCAGACTTTCCTGGTCCAGTGTTCATTTTTCGCTCGACTATCCCACAGACATAGAAAGCAAGGATATTTTGTGTATCCACTCTGCTGCCCCAATAAAAAGTTTACCATTTTTAAATCTACACACACTTGCCATTGATGTTGATCGTATGAAATTTTTTCTAAAACAAGCTTGATGTTTTTATATTCTTCCTTAAGTATAGTGGAATGACCTATTGGGATTGATGCTAACACGTTTCTGTTATGCAGTAACACACATTTCAAACTTCTTTTAGAACTATCTATGAATAGTCGCCAGTCTTGTGGTTGATATTCTGGAGGGCCCATTAAATTTAAAAGCCCAGAAATGTCATTACAATATACGATATCATTCAAATTTGTAAAATAAGGAAGAATATCGCGCTCTCTAGTTCGATAACTTGTTATTGACACGCCAGGATGAAGGCAATGTTTTTCTTTCAGTCTTGACGCAAGAAGCTCAGCTGATTTCTTCGATAAATTTAAATCTCGAATCAAGTCGTTTAGCTCACTCTGAGAAAACCCTTTTCGTGTAGGACTACTTTCTTCGAATTCACTTTCACTGCTGTGTTCACTGCTACTGCTAACGTCTAACATTTCAACATCATCATAACAATCGCCGGGTAAAGAAGTAAATTCCGGTGTTGGTAAATCTTTACTATGCAACGTTGGTGGCTTAGCTGATTGTTGTACATCTGGGTAAATCCATGAACGCTTTTTATACCGATTCATACCCTTTACATTTACAGCGCAAAAATAGCAGTCATCAAAGTGGTTTCTTGGCTCTCTCCAAGTCATCGGTATTCCAAATGGCAGCCCTTTTCGACCTCCTTGTGTCCAGTATCTGAGTGACTCCACACAAGTTTTACAAACTTTATGCGGAACCCAACATTTATCTTGCTGTCCAAGGTGTTTTCCAAAATATGCCTGATAGGCTTGTTTCACGAAATCGTTTATATTCCTTCGTTGCTTTTCCTGACAGTATTTACCACATATATAGCAGAAATGGTCGGGATTATTAACACAGGACTTGCGTGATGATCCACTCATACTTTTTTATTTTCAACAACTACGTCAAGATGACAATAAAAATGACACAAGAATGAGTAAACTACACCGAATAGTGATCAAAAAAGACAATGTTAAAATTTTAAGGCTATTTGATATTTCGAGGGTTTTGTTATTTTAATAAAAATACCAGTTCCACAATTTATACAATGAAAACAAGTTGACGAGGAAAAGAGCAATAAATAAAAAACGCGTATGCGATCCCAGATGTGTAACACTCTGCTATACCACCAATGTTGCTTAGTAAAGATTTACCAATATAGGTGTTTACTTGTAATTTTATGAAATGTTAGATAGTATTAAAAACGAAAAAAATAGTGAAAGTGAATGTGAAGGCTGTAGTCCTATACGTCAATGGCCATCTTAGGGTGAGCTTGATATTATATTTTTCCCAATCAGACAACTAATTGTCGATTTATGGTAAATTATGTAAAGCTGTCTTTTCATTTTATATAGATCGGTTTATCACGAAAACTAGAGTCAATTCAAACAATCTAATTTATAGCATAAGAACTTCATAATGATGTGCATTTAAATTGGCTCCATAAAATTAGGCCGCAGAAAAAAAATATTGTTTTGTTCCCCTGTGTAATCCATTGGATTTCTACTTATTGCCCTCAACCTGGGCAAAAAAAGATAACAATTACGAAGACATACAACTATGTTATAAGGCATTTTTGTCTATACATGATATAACAGGTCGTAGGATTCAAGCTATTCAGCAAAGTTTGAAGGAGATGGGTGTTTCCACAACAGATAAACGAAATAAACATTCGAACAGGCCACATAAACACAGTAAGGACACTATCACTCTTATTAATGATTTTATCAAGTCTTTGAGAGGCCTGAAAACTTAAATATTACGAAACTTCATGGAATGTTTAATGATAATCATCCAAAAAATCACGTGTCTTACGATTAATTCAGTGCAGAATTTAATAATAACTTTAATATTTCATTTGGCTATCCAAGGAAAGACACATGCAGTACCTGCGATGCTTTCAGTGTTCAAAAGGCTTCTATTACAGGAGGAGTAA